CCGCGGCTTAGACTTCAGCATGCAGGAGCTGCAGCTGATGCGGCTGGAGCGGAGCGGTCACCATGGCGACCCCAGCAGACAGATAGAGGAGCTGTTCCTGGGAGACGTTCACACGGTGCGCGCTCAGAGGAGACTCCACCAGCCCGCGGGCTACCAGACCCCCCTACAGAGCGCCAAGGTCAGCAGGCTGACGTCTGCACCGCTGCACATGCATGCGCTCGATTAGCACAGCACATTAATATTGAGCGAGAGCGAAGAGAGAGTCGCACACTGTCACCTGGAGTAAGAAAGAAGCGCTTAAAACAGAGTCTCTACTTCAGCATATCAGCACATTTTCACATGGATTTAAAGTCAACATTAAATGTTTTATTTTCCTGATGCGTGTAAATAACTTGCTTAGTTTGATCAGTGGCCCTTCATCCCGTTTCACGCAGGAATACGTCACAAAATGACTTTAAATGATTTAAAGACAAAACAAGCATTAATATATGCTAAAACAACAAAAAATCTAGATACGTCTTATTTTAATTGACTCTTCTTTCAAGAAATTGTTTAAAATAAGATAAAACAAGCATTAAAAAATACACTAAAACAACTAAAAATCAAGATGCATCTTATTTTAATTCACTCTTCTTTCAAGAAATGGTTTAAAATAAGATAAAATAAGCATTAAATACACTAAAACAAGTAAAAATTACTTATTTTAATTCATTTTTTGGCCTTTGAACAAAGTAACAAAGATTCACACGGTCTTGAGAAACATGAGGAAGCCTAATTTTAAAAGTGATTTCTAGACCTGAAAATGTGATGGACATGAATACAGTCTTAATATTCCATGTGCATTTTTATACAAATAAACACTTTTCTAGTCGTGCAAAACTCTAAAATATCTTATTGCATAGAAATGGTCAGTAAAACAGCAACTTTAACTGTGATTATGTGCTGGAGATCAGATGCCACAGACCACAGATGTGAGGTTACTGATAATTATTACTGATTTAGGGAAATCAACACACTTGAATGAAGTTGTTTCTCTTGATCTTCAAAAGCTTTGAAACTAAAGCAGGGGTCCGGAGGGCCTCAAGATGACTTAAAATGATTAGTAAATTAATTAATTAAAAAGAGTGAAAAAACCCAGAGGAGCATTCAGTTCCTAAAACCTCTGGAATCCCGAAACCTGTTTTCATTTCAGATATAATTATTTTAGCGGCTTATTTTAATATCCTAGTTTGAAACCCAAACCAGGGTCCTTTAAATGTTGCTAGAAAGTTTGATTTAAAGCTTCTGCTGGAATTATAATTTGCACCTGTAGATGATTTTCAATTATGAGTTGTAATTTGACATGACAGACTGTCTGGATTCACAAACGCGTTAAACTTCAGCCTTAAAATAAAACCCGGCGAAGCTGAAAAATACATGAAGCTTTCGACAGAAGAATGATTAATTCATGAAGTGCCATGTTCGCTGAAGTACAAGTCTGTATAATACATAACATTGTACTTAATTTGGGAAGTGGCATCGCCTGTGATTAATTCATGCGAGCCGCCGGCTGTCACGCATTCATCCGGAGCCTCCGCCGCTATCACCGACCCGTTCGCCAGCTCTCTCTGAGCCCGGATGCTTCCCCGGTGTCGCTAAAGAGCGTGATTCGAGCCGTGTCGGCCGCTCGTCTCCCGTCTGCTTCAAAGGGAATGTGGAAATAGTGTGTGCGAAGGCCAGCGCTCTGGATTGCGGCTCTATCCGAGCGCCGAAGCTGGGAGATGAGCTTTTTCTGATGGATTCATTTCTTTTATGTGTGCGCCCCCCCCACCACCGGCGCTCGCCGCAGCTAAAAGAGCTCGGGAAGCATGTAATGCAATGTTAATGCATTCTAGTTCAGCCTGAATTATTGATGGCCGGCCGACTCCAGTAAGAGACGTGTAGAGGAGAGTCCCGCTGTCTGTCAGCTCTCGGATTGATTGAGATTAAATCAAAGCCGCTCTATAATCGAGTGACGCTCAGAATTATGATTCAGAACTGTCCTTGCGTCTGTCAGCTTCTAACTTCTCTTTCTGTGCTGCCTTTTTGCATTGATCTGTGCATGCATGTCTTGCAAACTAGTGTTACTTTAAAATCATTGATAAACAATTATAGTTCATATTTTAAAGTCGATTTTGTTTTCAGTTTAGCTAGTTTCAGTAATTTTGTTTGGGTTTGTTTTAGTACTTTAAACTAAACGAATGAAAAATGTTGCCTTGGCAACTAGCTGAATTTTTTTTTTAAATCTATTTTATTTCAGTTAACATTTATTTTAAGATGGTTTTAGCTTTAGTATAGTTAACTATAACAATCCTGGTTTAGCTTTCTATTATTTTCTACTAATTCTACTGGTTTGTCACCAACATAATCTTATCATAGATTTAGTTTTTGACACGTTTTTTACTGATGCTTCCAAAGTTTATTACAAGAAAAATGGTTTATACACTGCAAAAATTAACTATTATTAGAACTATTATTATTTCCTGGATTTAATTTGTTGAGAGAACTCAAATATCTAAATTGTCACTTATAACAAACAACTTATTTCAAGTCGACTAAACTTAAAATGTTAAGGCAGCATGAACACTTTAAGTTAAAATTAAAAATAGTGTAGATTTGGATGCATCAATAAAATGTGTTGACTAGAAACCAATCAGTACATTACATCACATTGGTTTCCTGCAAAGAATGAATAAAGTTACATTATTGCATAATTAAGAAAAACAATAGTGAAGAAAACGTAATAGTGTAAAGCAGTAGACCATGGTGCTGGCAACACCAAGGTCATGGGTTCGATTCCCAGCGAATGCATGGACTGATAACATGCATAGCTTAGTTGCAATGTAAGTCTCTCTGAATAAAAGTGTCTACCAAATGCATAAAAGTTAATGTAAAAATATAAATATTTACAGTAAATACACACAAAAAAATGCATTGCAAAATGAAATGGATCATGTAAAAACAGCATAATTCTTAAGTGGTGTTAGGTTAAGTAACTTATGTTTGAGATGTTCAGATTGGGTTTGCTGGTCAGTCCTCCGTATTTCTGCAGCTTCACCTGCTGCTCTGCTGTTTAGCTCTTGCTTGTGTTGGAAGGGTTTTATTTCCGTTCGGTCTCATTGGGTCGGTGCATTGCATGCTAAATCAGATTCAGATGGGCTGAATAATCTGAGCAGTCGGGTTCTCTCCGGAGGCTCCGGGTGTGTGAAGCAGAAGCAGGTTCTCTGTGCTGAAGCTCGTCGATAACCTCTGAATGATTAACCAGTTTAATATGCCAGGTCAAGTTTATTTATATAGCGCTTGCTTCTCAGCAGCAGTAAGCAGACAAACAGTGTCAGGATTCAGGATTTTCAGATGTGATGTTCTGCATGCTGTGTCAGTGTCATCATGGATGATTGGTTTAGTGATGGTCTGTCTCACACTGACGCCCTATGATCTTTGGTCTTTATTTTCTCTGGGAAACCTCAAATATATAGTATGGAAAAAATAAAAAAGCTAATTGCGACTTTTTATCTTACAATTCCGACTTTTTGTTGCAATTCTGATTTGATATATAATTTATTCTCACAATTTTCTCAGAATTGTCTAAACTGCAATATAAAGTCAGAATTGTGAGAAAAAAAGTCTAAATTGCGATATAAAGTAAAAATGGTGAGAAAAGTCAAAATGGTGAGAAAAGTCAAAATGGTGAGAAAAGTCAAAATTGTAAGAAAAGTCAAAATTGGGATAAAGTCAAAATTGCGACATAAAGTCAAAATTGTAAGAAAAGTCAAAATTGCGATATAAAGTTAAAATTGTGAGAAAAAAGTCAAAATTGCGATATTAAGTCAAAATTGTAAGAAAAGTCAAAATCGCGATATAAAGTCAAAATTGTGAGGAAAAAAAGTCAAAATTGCGATATGAAGTCAAAATTCTAAGAAAAGTCAAAATTCTAAGAAAAGTCAAAATTGCGATATAAAGTCAAAATTGTGAGAAAAAAGTCAAAATTGCGATATAGTCAAAATTGTAAGAAAAGTCAAAACTGCGATATAAAGTCAAAATTGCGATATAAAGTCAAAATTGTAAGAAAAGTCAAAACTGCGATATAAAGTCAAAATTGCGATATAAAGTCAAAATTGTAAGAAAAGTCAAAATTGCGATATAAAGTCAAAATTGTGAGGAAAAAAAATCAAAATTGCGATATAAAGTCAAAATTGTGAGGAAAAAAAGTCAAAATTGCGATATGAAGTCAAAATTGTGAGAAAAAAGTCAAAATTGCGATATAAAGTCAGAATTGTGAGAAAAAAGTCAAAATTGCGATATAAAGTCAAAATTGTGAGAAAAAAAGTCAAAATTGCGATATAAAGCAAAATTGTGAGGAAAAAAAGTCAAAATTGCGATATGAAGTCAAAATTGTAAGAAAAGTCTAAATTGTAAGAAAAGTAAATTGTAAGAAAAGTCAAAATTGTGAGGAAAAAATGTCAAAATTGCGATATGAAGTCAAAATTGTAAGAAAAGTCAAAATTGTGATATAAAGTCAAAATTGTGAGAAAAAAGTCAAAATTGCGATATAAAGTCAAAATTGTGAGAGAAAAGTAAAAATTGCGATATAAAGTCAAAATTGTGAGAAAAAAGTCAAAATTGCGATATAAAGTCAAAATTGTAAGAAAAATCAAAAAATTGCGATATAAAGTCAAAATTGTGAGAAAAAAGTCAAAATTTTGATATGAAGTCAAAATTGTGATTAAAAACTCAGAATTGTGAGATAAAAGAGTCAAACGTGTGATATGAAGTCAGAATTGCGAGATAAAAACTCAGAATTCCGACTTTTTTCTTGTAATTCAGTTTTATTCGAGTTTATGTCTTGCAATTCTGATTTTATATCTCAATTTTTATTAGAATTAAGAAGAAAAGTCCAAATTGTGAGATTTGAAATTGCGCAAAGTTGCAATGATAATATGATAATATACAAATATATGACAAAAAGTATACAAATAAATAAAAATCACAGCCACACAGTAAGACCAGGAGCATGAAGAGTGAGTTTCAGATGATGTTTTTCAGGCCGAGCGCTGTGGAGTCTGTCGGATCGTGTCTTCGGCGGATCTTCATCATCCTCCGGTGCTGTCAGCTCGGCCCGAGCGTCCGGTGCGTCTGCAGGGAGACTGGGTGAGCACGCGGTGCGAGGTGCGTCCGGGAGTCCTCTTCCTCACCCGACAGCTGACCTTCCACGAGGACCGCCAGACCTGGACCGGACAGTACGAGCACTTCTCTGACCCGGTCTGCCGTCACCCCACCTTCAGCATCTCAGCCAGCGGACGCTACAGCCGCGGAGCTCCATCTGCAGACATCGGGGGCGCCGTCCAGTTCACCTTCACCGGTCAGTCACCGATATCACCAGCTGATTCATCAGTGCTTTAACACAGCGCTTTTGGGGTTGAAACATTGACATATGCAAATGAGGCATTCTCTAATTAAATATGCACATATTTCTGAACGTTGGATAAACTCAGGTTCAAATTCTAGTTTGATTTTGACGTCATTATTGGAGTTAAAGTTTTTTCCAGAGGGGGTTTTGGATTTCTCTTTTCATCACTCCATAAATCAGAAAATACTGTCAACAGACAGAAAACAGGAGTAAAATGTTGTATAAATCAGTGAAATATGAACAAACCTTCAGAACATAGAGAGGAATAAAACTGTAAAGTGTGCTGTTTGTAAGAGAATATGGATTGGATTGGAATTGAAATCTACAGATGCAAATAGATAAAGTGCAATAAAAAAAGTATTTTAGACATTTTCTATGAAAGCCCGTTTTCATCGTGGAATAAAAAAATATTCCAGTTCTTTTCTTGCAGTTCAAGATAAATACTCACAATTCTGGTTTTTCCCCTCCTTGGCATAAAAAAGATAATTGCAATGTTTTATATCGCAATTCTGACTTTTTTCTGGAATTTTTGACTTCGTATCTTGCAATTCTGACTTTTTTCTCAGTTTTTTTTTTCTCAGAATTGCAAGAAAAAAAGTCAGAATTGTGAGAAGTCATAATTACCAAGCTTCTACAGTAAGACGACGTTATGAAAGTGAAATAGACGTCAAAACTGACTAGTGCGTTAAAAAACACTCAGAATTCTGACTTCTTTTGCTTGCAATTCATTTTTTTTAAGTTATCTTGCCATTCTGACTTTATATCTCACAATTTTGGAAAAAATTATTGAGAAAAAAAAGTCAGCATCATGAGATAAAAAGTTGCAATTACTTTTTTTTTTTTTTATTTTGTGATGCAAACAGGCTTCCATTATATACAAATAAAAAAAATAAAATAAACTATATATATATATATTTATGTGTCCCTGCAGCACAAAAGCAGTGTTAAGTCGCTGGGGTATATTTGTAGCATTATATATCACCAAATATATACAATTAAACTACCATCACAACCATTTTACTTCTGCAAGATGCATTTCTTACTGATAGAGGATAGTGAATGAGAATCAGTGTAGGCTGGGATCTGTCTGCATCCGTGAGGATTGGATTGAATGATGATTAAAAGCGTCTCTGTATGACGGTGGATGGGAAAGCATCATTCAGGTTACCGCTTTTAATCTTTTTGATTTCGCGGTGGAAACAAGTTATTAATAAAGCAACAGACCTCAAACCTGAGCATTAGTTTGAGTTTCTCTCCTCTTCATCTGTATAATGCCGTGGCTCTCCTGCAGTGACGCACATGACGGTGACGCCCATGGATGAGGCCACCGCGTCTCTGCTGAAGGTGCTCCGCGGGCGTGCGTGTGGGGCCGAGGGCTCGTGGCAGCGGGGCGTTCCCCAGGACGTGACCTCCACCTCGGGCTGCGCGGCGCTGGGCGTGCGTCTGCCTCACACCGAGTACGAGCTCTTCAGCATGGGCCAGGACCCGTCGGGACGCAGCCTCCTCTACAATGGCCAGAGACCCAGCGACGGCTCCAGTCCGGACCGGCCCGAGAGACGGCCCACCAGCTTCCAGCCGCCGCTGATCCGCTGCAGCACTGGGCAGACGGGCGAGCGCCGCGGGGGGCGAGAGGGAGACCAGCGCTTCACACTGAACGCCAGCTGCGGCTCAAACACACTGCACGGACTCGTGCCGCTGATCCTGCTGCTAGTCTTCATGTAGAGACCGAGATCGCCCAGTTTATCCCGTTTGCACTAGCTCACCAAGCTGCTCGCACGATTTAGGATCAAAACGTGACCAAAAACTAACCATCCAACAGACTCCCTTCATTGTGCTTTGGGCAGCTTGTGAAGGTCGTGACCCATGCATGCGCTCTGATCCTGTACAGCGTCACATTCACTGGAGCTCATCATTCATCAGCAATCACAGTTCATGCTCTAGATTCACAGACGCTCCAGAGCTGCTGATTTCATGCAGAACCGCCGTCTGCAGTCAGTGTTGGATTGTGTTTTAGAGGACCCTATTGAAACCCTGTCCCATGACGTCCACAGAAATGAACACAGAATGAACACGTGATCAGGGTTATTATCGTTAACTGAAACCAAAACTGTTAAAAAAAGAAACATTTTCGTTACTTGAAATGAAATGTTACCTAAAATAAAATATATTTCTAATTTCTGCTAGTTGCCAAGGCAACATTTATCATTTTCATAGTTTAACTTGATGTACTAAAATAACTAAAATTGAAAAGTATACACTACCAGTCACCAAGCCTGCATTTATTTGATCAGAAATACAGCAAAAGCAGTAAAATAGTGAAATATTATTATAATTTCAAACAGCTGTTTTCTATGTGAATATCTGTTAAACTGTAATGTATTTCTGTGATGCGCAGCTGTATTTTCAGCATCATTACGCCAGTCTTCAGTGTCACATGATCTTCAGAAATCATTCTAATATGCTGATTTGCTGCTCAAGAAACATTTCTGATTATTATCAATGTTGAAAACAGCCGAGTAGAATTTTTCAGGATTCACAGATGAACAGAAAGTTCAGAAGAACAGCATTTATCTGAAATAGAAATCTTTTGTAACATTATAAATGCCTTTAATGTCACTTTTGATCAATTCAAAGCATCCTTGCTAAATGTATTCATTTCGATCATTTCTTTCTCAAAAAAAAAAATAAAAATACTGACTCCAAGCTTTTGAATGGTAGAGTGTATAATGTTACAAAAGCTTTCTATTTCAGATAAATGCTTATCTTTGGATCTTATTTTAAAATATTAAAAATATTTCACAATTTTACAGTTTTTGCTGTATTTCTGATCAAATAAATGCTCGGTGAGCAGAAGAGACTTCTTTAAAACACATTAAAAAACCTACTGTTCAAAAACTTTTAACTGGTAGTGCACATACATTACAAAATAAAATTAACAATATTAAAATTATTAGTTTATAAAAAATTAATTTAAAATTAAAATGAGAACAGAAAATGTAAATAAAAACCTAATTCGCAATATTAATGAAAACTAATATTTAAATTATACTAAAATATAACATTTTGGTTTGGAGAAGTTTTAAAGAATAATGGACAATTTTTGACTCAGTCTAATCATAAAACACATTTATTGTACACATTTCTGGCGCTGGATCATGTAATAGTGAGAAAGACATTTATTGTGTGTTCAGCAGCTGACTGGATCTCATGCACGGATCAGAGACGAAGCGCAGACAGCATGAAGAGTGTTAAAGATTCTTTATTTCAGCATGTTAAACACCACGGGACAGGACTGCAAACCTGATCTATTCAGTCAAGATGCCTCACAATCGAATATATTATAATTTGCATAAAGAAAACTCCATGAAATGATTCGAATCGTCTGCATTTGTGTTCGTGAGGGGAAACGCGGCAGACATCGTCACATTCAAGAAAACAAACGTGGAAATGTGTGTAACGTCACAAAGTAGCAAAGACGATCGGCTTGTGTTTGTATGACGATGAATCTGCATTGCTTCCCATATTCTCAAAAGAATCCAAAGAACATGTACATGACACTTAAAACATTCCATTAAACTCTTAATAAAACCACAGAGAGAAAGAGAAACACGTCCTTTTATTGATTGATAGGTTGTTTTTTCCACTGGGCTGCTAGTGATGCTCGGACAAATGGACAATTTCTTCTTCCCCGACCCCAGAGAAACCCACCCGGAACCACAGACGGCGGAAAAGAGGGAGACGAGACGAGCCGCCAGCCCGCTTCTGAGAGTGTGAGAGTGCGTGTGTGTGTGTACACGTGTGAGTGTGTGAGTGCGTGTGTGTGTACACGTGTGTGTGTGTGAGTGCGTGTGTGTGTGTGTGAGAGAGCGAGTGAGTGAGTGTGTATACGTGTGTGTATGAGTGTGAGTGAGTCTGTGTGAGTGCGTGTGAGTGTCTGTGTGTGTGAGTGTCTGTGAGTGTGTGTGTGTGTACATGTGTGTGTGTGTGAGAGAGAGTGAGTGAGTGTGTATACGTGTGTATGAGTGTGAGTGAGTCTGTGTGCGTGTGAGTGTGAGTGCGTGTGAGCGTGTGTGTGAGTGTATATGAGTGAGTGTGTATACGTGTGTATGAGTGTGAGTGAGTCTGTGTGCGTGTGAGTGTGAGTGCGTGTGAGCGTGTGTGTGAGTGTATATGAGTGAGTGTGTATACGTGTGTATGAGTGTGAGTGAGTCTGTGTGCGTGTGAGTGTGAGTGCGTGTGAGCGTGTGTGTGAGTGTATATGAGTGAGTGTGTATGAGCGAGTGTGTACGTGTGAGTCTGTGTGAGTGTGTGTGTGTGTGTATGAGTGAGTCTGTGCGAGTGTGTGTACGTGTGAGTGTGTGTGTGTGTATATGTGTGTGTATGAGTGCGAGTGAGTGTGTGTGTGAGTGAGTGAGTATGAGCGAGTGTCTGTATGAGTGCGTGTGTATGAGCGAGTGTGTGTGTGTGTGTGTGTGTATGTATATATATATGAGCGAGTGTGCGTGTGTGAGTGTGCGTGTGTGTGAGTGAGCATGTGTGTGAGTGTGTGTGAGAGTGTGTGTGTGAGTCTGTGTGTATATGAGAGTGTGAGTGTGTGAGTGTGTGAGAGAGTGTGTGAGTGTCTGTGTATATGAGAGTGTGAGTGTGTACATGTGTGTGTGTGTGAGAGAGAGTGAGTGAGTGTGTATACGTGTGTATGAGTGTGAGTGAGTCTGTGTGAGTGTGAGTGTGAGTGCGTGTGAGCGTGTGTGTGAGTGTATATGAGTGAGTGTGTATGAGCGAGTGTGTACGTGTGAGTCTGTGTGAGTGTGTGTGTGTGTGTATGAGTGAGTCTGTGCGAGTGTGTGTACGTGTGAGTGTGTGTGTGTGTATATGTGTGTGTATGAGTGCGAGTGAGTGTGTGTGTGAGTGAGTGAGTATGAGCGAGTGTCTGTATGAGTGCGTGTGTATGAGCGAGTGTGTGTGTGTGTGTGTGTGTATGTATATATATATGAGCGAGTGTGCGTGTGTGAGTGTGCGTGTGTGTGAGTGAGCATGTGTGTGAGTGTGTGTGAGAGTGTGTGTGTGAGTCTGTGTGTATATGAGAGTGTGAGTGTGTGAGTGTGTGAGAGAGTGTGTGAGTGTCTGTGTATATGAGAGTGTGAGTGTGTACATGTGTGTGTGTGTGAGAGAGAGTGAGTGAGTGTGTATACGTGTGTATGAGTGTGAGTGAGTCTGTGTGAGCGTGTGTGTGAGTGTATATGAGTGAGTGTGTATGAGCGAGTGTGTACGTGTGAGTCTGTGTGAGTGTGTGTGTGTGTGTATGAGTGAGTCTGTGCGAGTGTGTGTACGTGTGAGTGTGTGTGTGTGTATATGTGTGTGTATGAGTGCGAGTGAGTGTGTGTGTGAGTGAGTGAGTATGAGCGAGTGTCTGTATGAGTGCGTGTGTATGAGCGAGTGTGTGTGTGTGTGTGTGTGTATGTATATATATATGAGCGAGTGTGCGTGTGTGAGTGTGCGTGTGTGTGAGTGAGCATGTGTGTGAGTGTGTGTGAGAGTGTGTGTGTGAGTCTGTGTGTGTGTATGTGTGTATATGAGAGTGTGAGTGTGTGAGAGAGTGTGTGTGTGCGAGAGAGTGTGTGTGTGCATGTGTGTGTATATGAGTGAGTGTGAGTGTGTGTGTGAGAGAGAGAGTGTGTGTGTGTGTGTGTGTGAAAGGCAAGGCCCGTTTGAATGATCCTGTACACAGACACGTTTACTTCCTCTGTCGTGGGGCTCGTCTGCGCAGACGCCACGCTTATCAACAAGAGCGCACTCTTCGCCCGTCAGGCCCACCACAACCTCTACAAGACAAACTTCCCGAGGAAGAACCCGATGAAGATGGCGGCGATGACCACCAGCAGCGACGGCAGCGATCTGGAGGCGGGATCTTTGCTCAGCATCGCCGCCGAAGACTTGGAGACGGAGCTGTCGAACTGATTGGCCTTCCTCATCCTCAGCCCTTCATCCTGATGAAGAGCGACACACACAGGTGAACACACAATCATCATCAGTGATCCGCAGTCTGGCTGTAGCTATCTCTGAGCTTGTTACGCCACCTAGTGCTCAGAGCCCTGCTGTGCAACATTTCCAGTGTGTTCTGATGTCTGCTCAAATGCAAACTCGGGTTTCTGCGGATTATAATTTAGAAAATGGCAATGTTTAAAGCTTGAGGGTTTGAAAGTGAAGAATTTAAGACATAAATATCATATAACTAGTGTAAAAATAATGATGATGAAATACAGTTCAATTGTAATTTACTTCAGTAATAGCCTATATTGTAGTCTTCATTTTTATAATTAGAGGTAAAATAGCCACGTATCTCTTAGAAAAAACTACGTTTGAGCACTTTTAATATTATTGTTTTTTTCTATCACAACTGAAATTCTCTATTATATTTATTAATTTAATTATTTTATTTACATAAATGCTAATTTCTGAGTAAGAATCTGTTACGGTCCATTTTTCTGGTAGACTATAATTCCTATGTTTTGTCGTTGATCGGCATAAAAAAAAACAATCTTTAAAAAGTCCAATTAATATATATATTTTTTTTAATTGGTCTTTTTTGTCATTCTTTACTTGCCGATAAAAAAGTTGTTTGGCATGAATAAAAAAAAAAAAAAAGAGTTAAAATAATAATAATTATTAATCAGTCTGATTGGGCTCCTAAAACAAAAAACATAAAAAATAAAAAAAAAGTAAATATTTTGTTAAATAAATGACATAAATGTGTTTATGTAAGTTATATAATAACCAACATCAGAGAACCTGTGAGTGTTAAATGACTGAAATACTAATTAAATCTCAGGAAGACTGACAGTTTGTTAGCGCTGAATCAGGAGCGTCTGACGCAGAGAGGCCCTACAGACACTAGTTAGTGCAGACGCAGACGTTCTCCAGTACCTTGAGTTGGCGGTTCTCGTCTAGCAGCTTCCCCACTTGCGTCTGCAGTCTCTTGCTCTCCTCCATGAGCTTCCTCATCTCCGTGTCGTCCATCGACAGACTGCCGGCTCTGGTTCCTGACGTGCCGTCGGCCCTCGAGGCGTTCAGAGCAGATGCTTTGGTCGACTCCAGCTCGCTCTGATCAGAACAGACACGTTACTGAAAGACCGCTGCTATTGTTGTCTGTTGTACTTTTTTTACATGTTCCTTTGTTTATATACACTTCTAGTCACTCTCACACACACACACACACACACGCTTGCACACACACACACACACACGCTCGCTCTCGCACACACGCTCGCTCGCTCACACACACTCGCTCACACACACGCACTCGCTCACACACACACGCACTCGCTCACACACACACACACACACACACACACACTCACTCGCGCACAC